GGGTGCATCGTGCCCGCCCGGGCCGCCCCTGCGTCCTCCACGCCTCTGCCGGGGAACCGCCCGGGAGGTGCGGGAGGGGAGGCGCCAGTTTTAGGGGACGTTTTGTAAGCGATATTAAATATAAGTCTTAGCACCTGTGGCGTTTTTGTCCAAACAGACTTCGACGTAGGAGGTGGGGACGTAGCCCTCCTCGTCCTCGCTCCTCCGGATGCGGGTCCACCCGTCCCCTTTGTCTTCCTCGATCACATACAAGGTTTCTCCTTCTGCTACTGAGATGGTCCCTTCGTTCTGACCTGCGGGAGCAACGGCAGAATATTTCAAGACTCCCTGGAGGATGGGCGTGGTGGCACCTGCCTGTCACCCCACCACTGGGGAGGCTGAGGCAGGAGGATCGCTGAGAGTTTGAGGGCGGCCGGGAGAGCCTGTCTCGAGATAAAACCATGACTGGGGATGCAGCTCAGTGCAAAGGTCCTGGGGCCAATCCCTGGTGCTGCAAAAACAAGAACAAAACCCCGGGACGGTGGGGTTCACCTGTCCCAGGGCTCCCAAACCCGAGCTCTGCCAGCTCCGTCCACAGGCGGCTCAGGAGCGTCCTGTGGAGCCTCGACTCCAGGTCCTTGGGTTAGCAACAATGGCCTGGTATTTCTAGCAATTCCTGTTTTCTAGCCAACCATGGAGCTGACAGTAAATCACCCACGAGCACCCCTGATCTCAGCACAGCTATTTTTCTTTTTTGAGATAGCATCTCACGGTGTGGCCCAGGCTGGACTCAAACTCAAGGCAAGTCTCCTGCCTCGGCTTCCCCAGTGCTGGGGTGACAGGCCCGTGCCATCGTGAGCAGCTTAAATACTTTCAACGGCCCGGTGGTGCTCGTCAAATACGATCCGAAGGGTCCCCGTCCTCCCCAGCGGGCGCCTCCCACTTCCGGTCAAAGACCCCACGGGGCTCCGAGGCCCAGACTGCAGCTTGGGACCACGTCCTGCCACACCCGCCTCCTCTTGTCACGTGTCTGTCACGCGCTCCGGGCAGGGGCTGCGCCACCTTCGAAGGTGTAGAGGGCCTTGCAGGTCCCGATGGCGGGCAGCGGCTCCTCTTCGTCGAACTCGTCGTCGAAGTCCGTGGCCGGCACCGTCAGCTCGTTCCCCTGGCTCCGCTCCTCTGTGTAGCTGCCATCCGGGCTGCTCAAGACAGGAAGCCATGTGGCCACTATCGCGACCGAAAGTGCCACCTCCCTCTCCCTGGCCCCTTTCCCTTTGCAAACGCTCTTCCTGTCTCCTGGTGCCTTTTGTTCTGCTCTTTAATTCCCTTATACTTTGGGTTTCTCCTATAAGAGAGACCTCGCCACACGTAATCTGTGTCTGACTTAGCTCACTTAACAGTGAGGGCTCAAGGCGCATCCACTTCCTACAAGTGACTCCAGCACGGCCTTGTTCGTGGCAGAGTAGTACTCCACGCCACAGAGGTCACGGTCTTTTCCACGCCTCTGTGGACAGACGCACAGGCCGGGGCTACGGGCTGTGCAGCCGTGACCGTGGTGTGCACGGACTGCTGAGAAGACGTCTTTAACTCCCAGAAGGCAGCGGCGGGCTCCCGGGGGATCTCTGGTTAGGGTCTGAGGAATGTCCACAGGGTTTCCATGGCGATTCCCCCAACGCTGTAGGAGGCTCCCTTCCCCCACCGCTCCACAGGGCTTGTGAGGCCCGATTCCCGGCCGCGCCACCCCCCCGGGGGACAGCCACCCACACCCGCGGCCCAGGCAGGGACTGTACCTCTCGCGGTCCTGGGCG